TGAAACAGTTTTCACCTTTGGCAGTAGCCGATGCAGATCCCAGGGGTCGATCCCTTGACCTCAGCTTACCTGTGTACAGTATCTGTACAGTTCCCTGGAGTTGAACCCGTGACCTGCACGATAGCCAGTGGTAAGTAGGTCACCGTAGGTTGTAGGCTGTAGGAAGATTCGAACTGTAGACCTGTAGGGTAGGAGTCCAAGTAGAGTCCAGAAGCCCAGCTTTAGTCCTTCTAGACGGTCGGCAAGTGGTCAAGTGGTGAGTCTAAGGTAGGCCCACGTTTTTCAGACGAAGACAAGTGGCAAGGTCAACAGGTAGGACCTCAGTGCAACTGCACTGAGTCGACGGTACGACTGCCTAACAGTCAGGAGAAGGGTCTAGAGAGTCCCAGTCCAGTCCAGCAAGTACCACAGGGGGACTGTGAGCACCAAGGGCCGAAGGTAAAGGGCAGACCAACGAATTTCTGAAGTATAAATCAAGAGGCAGCGCCCAGCCATTCATTCATTCCTGCGTGATCCATGCGGAAGCGCTGCCACAGCAGCTTGTGCAAGGAGGTCTGCAGATGAGCCCGGAGGATGAGTGGGCAAGAGAGGAGGAGTTAGCATAGCGATAGGTTAGAGGCAGCCATAGCTGCCATAGCTGTAGTTAGTAGTGAGTGTGTGTGTTCGAGTGTTAGAGTGATGCGTGTGGGATATCCAGGGTGATCCAGTGCATGTGAACAGTGAGATGTTTGGGCGCTGAAGTCGCCATAGCCATTTGAGAGTGAACTCGTATCTGAAGCCATATCTCTGAGTTTTGAGTGGGCGCATGTCGCCAGTGTGCTGCGTACTGTTTACATGTGTGAAAAGTGTGTTTGAAAGCGAGTCTGATTGCACACTGAACGATCAGATTTATGTGTCAGACAAGGAAAAATATCTTAAAAAGGGATATTATTATTCGTTGTTGGAGTCATAATATTCAGGAAGGAACTAAAAAAATATGCTGGCAGAAGAGGATTCGAACCCCCGTCATGCGATATTAGAGTTTGAAAACACGTGTTTATTGTCTGCACATCTTGCATCAAGATCTTCATGGACTTTTTCCAATTCGTCATCAGTCTCTGTTTCAAGGACGGCTATCAAATTTGAACACAAGAGAGCAGACCGACATAAGACAAGAACTTGCAGATTGCTCAAAGTTCAAGTGTTCTACAGAATCCACAACGAGTTTCATGCATGCACACACTCGCGACTACGGCCGCGGAGTTCATACTCTCTCTTGCTGCCACTACTCTACTCTAGGCTCTCAGGCCTCACCCACATTCGCTGAAAGTCTTCCCTCATCAGCTATGGCGCCGAGCGCCGTCAACCACACGACTCTGTCTCTCAGCCACACTCTCTGCTTCCCATAAAAGACCGCATCAGCGCTTCCGAGTTGGGCACAGATCAAAATTGTGCTGACATTCTGCTGATTCCAGCCTTATATGCCTGCTACACTTCCCCATTTTTATCTTTCCGTACTGATACCCTTTCGCCTACCGGCCGTAGTCTGTTTTTGGCGCTTCCAGAATGTTTACAGACCTTCCTGGGACTGAACTGCTTTTCGGACTGAGAGACTGACACGTACAGAGAAATACAAAACCAGGAAAAAAGAAAATGCAAAAGGTGTCTGTTCCTAGAACTTCTCAAACTGAAAACACTTCAAAAAAGAAAGGCCTCCTCATACTATGGAGCATACATAATAAAGAGAATCAACAGAGGGACAAGGAATGCACGTGTCAACCTCCATGCACAGAGGCATATGTGGCATTTCCTCACCTTCCAAGCCAAGCAGTTTCTCTCTGATATAAAGTGGGCACTCACTTTTTCCCCTTGACAGAAGACCACCATAATCATATTTCTAGCAGGGGATCTTTCTGACTAACCTAGGCTGCATTCGAATGAGCTGGAACGCTAGAAAAATTAGTCACTCACAGCCATGGGAAATTTTGAAATTTACTACTTCATAACCATAGATAACCCGTAGTGAGTTTAGTGTCCACTCACTGCTTAGAACGACAGCTTGGGGGAGGGGGAGGGGAGGAACACTCGACCAACATGCCCAGCCAGATGGCACGACCACAAGTACCATTCCAACCCTAGCAGAATCAGTCGGGCTCACAAGGGATGCATGGGCAATGTCATCTTCCCTGGACGCGCAGCTCCACAAAACAACTATACCTGTTACAAAGAATTCTGTAGGATCTACATCCGCTCCTCAATACTAGCCAATCGCTAAAGTAGGGCCATTGTTTTTTTTTTTTTTTTGAAACACACGCCCTGCAATGCTAGTGGTGCTGGTAAGAGCAGACACCACTAGCACCCGGGAAGGGGCTCCATCTAAAGTAGGGCCATTGTAAAAAAGGAAAAAGAGAAAGGAATACTATCATCAGCTCCCTCTCAGATAAGACTTTCAAACCGCCAGTTCACACAAACCTAAGTTGACAAAGCCACCTTCCAAGCCCCGCGATCCTGCAACTGCGCCTTTTCAAAATGGCCTGCCGCTTTTGCTACCGGCCCAGGTCCGAAGCGGGCCACAACTTTGGCTCACACGAACTGGTGGTTTAACTGCAAAGGCTTCCTGTCTCTGGCCACATATACAGTCCATCAAAGTTACCAAGTGCATCCAGGTAAGCGTAAACAGAACAACCATATTGAAAAAAAGAGAGCAAGGACTTCTCATACGTAAAGGGGAAAAGAAAACGAAAGCAGAGGTTGCACTCACCAGTGAATGCATGCATCTGGCTTTGCAGCTGGTTAATCTGTTGGACAATACTTTTCCTTTTTTCCTCCTGCAGCTTCATCTCTTCTTGAAGATTTCTCAGTTCTACAATTGTTTGTTCAGCAGCTTCCCTCTTCGCCTGAAGTGCTGCGATCTTCCTCTGATATTCAGCCATCTGTGCCCTCAATTTTTCAGCTTCCTTAGAGTCCTCATCCATGGCCTTCCGCAACTGTACGACCCAACACCAAGCACCACATAGATCAGTAGGAAAGTTGCGCCTAATGGAGGACATGAGCTGGAAATTCATCAGCACTGTCTGACTCCACACCCAGTGAGTAAGAAATGTCGCATCCCATGTCATGCCTTGCCTTGACCCACACGCTGGAAGTTTTGTCTTGTTCAAGCACCAGCCTGTTTCCCTGGTACATTGTCCCGACGCGCCAGTTAATGCACCGCAAAATCGCACTTCGGGCCTACCGAACGGAAAAGGCTGGTGCCACCTGGCAAAATCATCCACATGATTGTTCGACATTTTTACGGCTGGACAGCACACCTCCCAAAAAAACGGACCAAATCCCGCTGATACATACAAAAACCTGCGGCCACTGGATAAATCAAACGGATCAGCTGAAAAAGGGTGGGCCTCAGCATAACCAGGGAGCTCGAAAAATGGTAGTGGTGGGTTAAACCACCAGTTCATAGCTCTGCCCTTGTTTGGGAATGCCCTTTTCCAACCTAGGCACCGTCTTCAATCAAATTATTGTTCGTGTCTTGTGAATCCCTGCTTACTCTTCTTCTTCTCCCCTCTATTTTCTGTTCTAAGCCCCCAGGTTTCACTTTTTGACTCTCTCCTCATCTTCTTTCTTCGAAGCCACCACCATCAACATCTTCATCATCACCATCATGGTCATAGTCATTATCAACATGGGTGCCCCCATTCATGACATTCTGATGTTGTTGTCATCATCATCGTTGTCATCATCATCATCATCATCATCATCATCGTTGTCATCATCATCACCATCATCGTTGTCATCATTGTTATCATCATCGCCTTTGGGGTACCCCTTTTATTTCTTCTTGCAGCGCCCCTTTAACTGTGCCTCTAACGTACGAGGCTTGCAACATTGAACGTCGGGGTTGCCAACCTCTGTGCAGTTCGTTAGGGGTGCGTGCAGTAGACAAGTGCACTGAGTTGTTGTACGCAGACTGCACTTTGGGAAGATGTTCATCCCAATCGATCTGGTCGGGCCTAATGTACATTCGTAGCACTTGCTGGAGCAGTTTGTTTGTTCATCTGCTCGCTCTGGCCATCGGTCTCCGGGTGTCTAACGGAAGACATGGTCAGCTTTGATCCATATACTTTCATCAACTGTTGTCAAAGCTCACCCGTGAATGCGCTAACAATCGTTAATGGGTGTCCGTAATCCTTAACCCAATTATTGAAGAATTCTCTAATCACTAAATATGTCTCCGCCCCAGCGGGCAGCGAAATAAAAACAGCAAATTCACTAAATCTATATACAACTACCATCACTCGACTCTTCCCGTCTCTGCTTTTGACTTTCGTGTCCATGAACTCGATCGACACAGATTTACCGGGACCGGATGGGACAGGTAACGGCCTCAACAGGCCAAGTGGGGACTGCATGGAACTTTTGTTCCGATGACACACCTGACAGCCCTGGATATAGGCAATGCAGTCGTGCTTCATGCCGACCAAGGTGTAGAACCGGAGGAGATTGGCGTAGGTTTTACTCCAACCGAAATGGCCCTCAGTGTTGTGGCACTCTCCCAGGATCAGACTTTTGACTGTCTCGTTGTTCGGGATCCACAGTCTGTCGAACCTGTCTGCTTTCTCGAACAGTAGTCCGTTGCTTACTCTGTAGCGCGGGACTTCATGTGTTGCAGTCTGCACCCTTTTAATTAGCTCACTGTAAACGGGATCGTCAATGTACGCAGCCTTGATCTGCTGTTGTAGCTCAGTGCCTGCATCTAGGTAAGTCACGATGGCACCGAAGAAGTTTGCGCATCTACTCAACGCGTCTGCGACGACGAAGTATTTGCCCTTGACTGGTTTCAACTCGAAGTCGAACTGATCGATTTCCCCAGCCCACCTAGTCAACTTAGGTGTCATCCGAGCCTGGGTTTTCAACCAGCGGAGGGTCTCGTGGTCAGAGTAGACTTTAAAGTGCCTTCCTAGGAGATAGTGTCACCAATGGTTGGGTGCCTCCCTCAGGGTGAACAGCTCGCGCTCATACTGTGACGCAGCAACCTTCTCACTAGGCAACCTACAAGACATGAACTCGACGGGCCAGTACCCAGTACGACGCCAATTCCATATTGGCTCATGTCAGTAGTGACAATGAATGGAAGTGACGGGTCTGCAACTTTCAAGACCGGGTGCTCGATCAATGTTTTCTTCAACTTCTTGAACGCTGCAGTGCAGTCTTTGTCCCAGTTCCAAACTGTCTCCTTTCTCAGCAGTTTGCGCAGTGGTGCAGCGATCATTGTAAAGTTTCATACAAACTTTCGGTAGTAATTGGCTAATCCTAAGAACGACCGCAATTCAGTCAGTGTATGCGGTGTAGGCCAATCCCTGATTGCTGCTATTTTCACATCTTCCTGTCTGACTCCATCTCCATTTAACACATGGCCTAAATACAGCACTTGACGTTTTGCCCATTCATATTTGTTCGGGTTCACCTTGAACTTCGCAGTGCTCAGCTTCTCTAAGATCAAACGCAGATGCTGCTGGTGCTCCTCTAGAGTCTTACTAAATATTGGAATATCGCCGAAGTAAACGGCTGCGAATTTATCTAGCAATTCACGAAAGAGATCGTTCATGCATCTTTGGAAGGTAGTAGGGGCATTCGTAAGACCAAACAGCATGACCACAAACTCGTAGTGGCCATAGCGTGTTCTAAAGGTCGTCTTGTGGTGGTCTTCGGGTTGTACCTCTATTTGATGGTAACCCGACTTCAAGTCAATCTTGGAAAGATACTTGCATCCCTGCACCCTGTCCAACGAACCATCAATTCTAGGCAAAGGTTTCACCGTAATCGCGTTCAAACCCCTATGGTCGATGCACATGCGCAGTTCCCCCTCCTTTTTAGGCACGAATAGGACCGGTGCGCCATATGGTGAAAGCAAACTCTTTCAACAGTTGTTCAACTGCGGGTGGTGTGGGCTCCTCCTCCTTCTTGCCCTCAATAACCGGTCTAACATACGCTACGAAGAGTTGGTCAATCAAATCAGCCACGTGCCTTGCAAACACAGGGTCATACAACAAAGGGACAGACTGGACTCTACTCCAGATTTATGAAACAGTCGCATTTTCTTTTCGCCTCCTTCAAGCACTCATGCTCGCCCATCTTTACATCAGCCCTTGCAGGCTCTCCCCAATCCATCCCTAGAATCAAGTCGAAAGGTAGGTTTTCCTCCACTAAGAGGGTCAGGGAGTGCAGAACTTTCTCTATCTTGTTTCCCCCCTCCAACCCGAAGTGTGCCCTCACCCCTTCGACGTACTCTTCTACTCTCATTTCGCGATTGTCTACCAATTTGCTCACGACTGGCTCATCCAATTTTAAAACCTTCATGTCGAGGTTCATCTTCTGCAGTCCCCTTCGACTAATGTAACTACGCGTTGATCCACTATCAACTAACGCGCCTACTCGCTCTCTACTAATCTCTACATCTGCTAATATTAGCTGCCCTTTACTCTTCTTCTTCAATTCAGCCCAGGCTTCGCCGCGAGCGATCAGCTCATCGTCGATGCCTGCGAGGGAACCACCCAGAGAGACCCTAGCACAAGCGGTCGCTGGAGAGCTAACTGGGTGGGCGCCTGCGTTCGTCTCTACCATTGGGGCCTTCAGATAGGAGGGTGTTTGTTCAGCACGTGCTTATGTCTGTCTGTTTGCGTCTGAAGGCCCAGCAGGAGGAACTGCGACTCCTATCGACTGCTCCCTTTTGGGTAGCGGTAGTCAGGGCAAAAACAAACATTGTGGTTGGGATCACCACATTTTACTATTTTAGACATTGGTCGGCCTTAAGCCTTTTTTTCCCACAGCGTTTTCTCTATGCCCGTCTCTTTCCATGGCTCTCCATCCTCAATCCCTGGATGTGCTGTCCATGGTCTGCGCCCTCTACCTCTTCCACCTGTGGAGGAGGAACCACGTCCACCTTGCGGGGAACCATAACCCCTTTTTTCCGCATAATAGCTACCTTCGCTACTACTCCCCTGGGTGCCACGTCCTCTTCCTCCACCTCTTCCTCGGCCTCCTCTGCTCCTTGCCGCCCTCCCCCGCGGGCTGCAGCAGCCGAATAGTCCCCTCCCTGCGCAGCAGCCAAATAGTCCCCTCCCTGGGGTGCAGCAACCGAATAGTCCCCTCCCTGGGCTGCCCAGCTGCTGTTCGGGTCTTCCAATCCATAATCTATGTTTTCATAGGGCAGTTCCTCGACGCCAAAGCCCTCGAATGTGACCAGGAGACTATCATTCCTTCTATGCTACCAGATATTGTCTTGTTCTTCCAATGACCTCCTTTCTGTAAGTCCTTCCAATTTTGATCGGCTATGTCTCGGATCAGATGCTCAGTACGTCTGGCCCGGTTCTTGTCCTCAAACCGATTCTTTAAGGCTAGGAAGAAATCTTCGATGCGGGTCTGCTGGGAGTATTCTGCCATCGATGTGCACCCTGCCGCCTCCATTAGGGAGAGAGCAAAATTTGCAGCATCTCCCCCGAGGCACGAACTTGCCATCAAGACACGGTCCCGGTATGGTATCATCTGTCCATATAGATAGATGCCCATGTGCGTATAGATAGGTGCCCATGTGCCGATGTGCCTATGTCCCAGTATGCCATCAAGTTTTCTTATCTTTTTCTGTGATACGTTCAAGGGATCTTTACCTTCAACATCCCTCTCCTACCTTCGGATGCCCCTTCGGATGGTCTTTCTTCCCCCTTCGGATCTCCTTCCTTTTTAGGGCCTTCGCCTCCTTTCCCATCATCACCATCATCATCTCCCCCTCCACCACCACCTCCTGACTTTATCGTGGCGAGGGTGTCTATTAATTTCGAGGTGAATATTCCTTCCAGTTATTGTGCATATCCCCCAACGCGCTCATCTATACAGTGGGCAGCGCACTTCAGTAGTTATTCCAAGTACCCTTCAACTCATGGTTGTGCTGCTCGAGTTGGGCAACAGACTTGTTTATAGCGGCAAGTTCATAGTTAGTATGCAGCAGGGTGTTGACCATAAGAACACGATTGTCTTTCCATTCCCCCTCACGGCCTTTCTGTTCCTTCAGTTGGCGTTCAATCTCTTCCCCTTCAGCTTTCAATCTCCTCTTCTGCTCCAGATCCACACTTTTCTTTATCAAGCGCCGCGATGCAATTCATGTTCTCTTTCCTGCATCAGCAGTTCCCTCTCAACGTTGTCCTCTCCGACCTCCAACTTTGTTGTGAGTTCAGCCCTCTCCGCCTTGGCTCTTCTGCCCACTCATCCTTTCTGAACCCAAACTTCTCTATCCACGCCTGGGTGTCAACTGGGTAGAATTGCAGTTGACTGAACTCTCCCTTTTCGGTCCGCACACCTCCTTCAACCCTATGCCTGGGGCCGTCCAGCCTCACCTCCTCTTCTTCTTCTTCTTCTTCTTCTTCTTCTTCTTCTTCTTCTACCACTCCAGCTTGCTGTTTCTGTTTTTCCAGCGTTTTTCGCTTCTCTTCCAAGTCCCTTCTCTCCTTCTCCAATCTCTTTTTCTCCTCCTCTTCCCTCTTCCTCTTCTCCTCCTTTTTCTCCTCCTCCTTCCTCTTCTCTGCCATCCTCCTATCAATTTTGGCCTGCTGCTCAGCGGAGTATGGCTGCGTGGACGCTCCAGACCAACTCACAACGTGCATGCCAACGGTCCAGGCGAAGCCCAGCGGAAAGAGGAAACGGAGGAGGGGGGCCCATATAGCGGACAGGGCCAAGAAGCCAAACATCGGGTAGTCATCCATGGCGAGGGTCAGCATAGGTAACTTGACTCCATCTCCTCACCACTTAGACCTACACCTCAACACTTAACAGTCCTCAACACTATACTAATCTTAACCTAAATCAGGGTTGTACAAACTAATTCCCTTCCCACCTCTGTCACTACAGTTCTCCTAACATCCGGTGGGCAACAGGCAGTTTAAGGTCAGCCAGCACAGACCTCAGGAAATATTTAACGACACAAACAGGACGTCGTGCCCACCGACATGAAGGATCACTCTCAAGACTTAAGACTTGTTCCTCACTGATTGCAGCGGTTTTCGGGTATAACTACCACCAGCAACTAGCCAGCCGGTCAGTACCAGTCCTTGGGGGGATCTTCCTGGCATCCTCAACTGCTTCAGACCGGTACCGGTCGGCCGGGGCCTGTCTGCTGCAAACATTTTGTTGGTCCAGTACCTTCCGGCTTTCCTGGGACATGCTGCAAATTGGACTTGGGACTGTAGGCCTGGACTGGACTTTTCTTGTCGGGTATCGGACGGACCTCTACCCACCTAGAATTTTTCGGTACCGACACCTTCCAACCTACGACGCTTTGGACTACAGACCCTACGGCCTATATTAGTGGGACAGCCTGGGACCGGGACACTTAGGGACTCTAGGACCGGGACTGGGGTGTCTGCAGCGTGAATCCTTACAAAAAACAACATGTGATATTTTGAATGTGCTGTAGGGGCAGGATCAGGGGATTGGTTGCAGTGGGGAAAGAGCCATGGCTCCCAACTGAGGGCTGCTGGCAGTCGCTCACCGGCACAAGTATGACATGCACAAATCGAGAAATGGTTCAAATTTTTCGGACTGAAAAGTGTGCAAGCGCGTGCACATTTTTCTTTTAGCCGGACCTCAAGCCCTACCAGCCCAGCATGGCTGGCATGGGTGGACGGCCACCACCAATGGGCCCTGTCCAGCAAGGTACCCAGATAGCCACCCCAAAAAATAAAAACAATCAGCAGGGTCCAGGCAGCCTATCCTTTTTTTTACCTGAAATCCCAGGATGATGCTCTGAATCGGTCAATCAAAAGCAAAATTCCTGACCGTTAGCAAACAGCACAATAACGCTGACTGCAGAAACCAGTCGACACCCAACCAGAGACACTAGAAAAGAAAGACGTATACACTATATAGGCACAAGAACACACTGGCAGAACAGCCAATCACTCAGGCTCGGAAACTTCACCAAATAAGACCAAAAGATACAGCTTCCTCAGAAAATGCAGAATTCTGACTGCAACAGTGTGAGTCATCGCAAACATATATAAAGACACAAGTAAAGCCAGTGCAGTTATGCCTGCACAAAGAGGAGAAAAGAAGAACTTCTGCATGCCATATCAAGGGTGTTAATACTCTCTCTCTCTCTCTCTCTCTCTCTCTCTCTCTCTCTCTCTCTCTCTCTCTCTCTCTCTCTCTCTCTTTTTCTGGCCAAGTGTGGATTGTACAGCACTCCACACACCTCACGATACACAGCAACACCACAGTGTGAGAGACAGTAGGGAGGGAGGGAGGACAGACAGAAAGTGAGAGACATGGAGAGAGAGGGGGGGAGAGAGAGAGAGAGAGCTTTGCCACAGCCATCGAGCACACTTACCTTTTTGGGCAGCGTCTCCGCTGAAGACGGGGAGAATTGCCAGTGGGGTTGCCCCAACAAAAAGAAGTTACAATATGCACTTGGGAAATTATTGAAAAATGTTGACATTGAAGTGTAAGCAGCACACACATTTTTTCTGTTTTTTGGGCCCTCAGGCCTTCCCGGTCGTGCTGAATGCGACATATCTAGACACCCAGGACAAAATACATTTGGACTGATCCAGCATTTTGCAAAAATCGGGCCAGAAACCAGATACATTTAGAATGTTGTGGAGTAGAGTGGCACAGAGATAAATGAAACGGTGAAAATTAAGTAGAGCTTTGCCACAGCACTCGTCAAATATGAAACAACAACTATGACGAGTGTATGTTTCCATGTTGAGGGGGGAGATACATCCTCCATTTTCTTTTTCTTCTACCCTCCCTTACAAAAACAAAAGAAAAAACAAAAACAAAAAACAGGTCCTTATGGCCCTGGCTCCATTTCCATTCTGGGGAGCATCAGTCTAGTTCCTATTCCACTCACGCTTCCTTCCGTCTGGCCGAAGGATTTTTTTTTGTTTTGGTTTTCCTTTCTAGGGCAACGGCCTCAAGATACCATCATGGAGCTCACCCACCCCAGGTATCAGAAGTTCAGAACCCTTTCACTGTATTCATCGAGTTCCGTTTGGATTTGAACTCGAGTCTGTCTCTTTCAACAGTTTGTGGGTGTAACCAACGAAGCTCGGCCCTCCTTTTATTGCCATTAGAATCATCATCGCCCCGCTTTTTTTTTTTTTGTTCTCTATATATTCTTTTAAAGATAAAGCTGTCTTCTCCTTATGTGGGGAACAGCTGTATTCGCTACACTATTTTCTTCTCTTACCCTAGCTACCTATGCACCTCACTCACAGCAATTCATCTCTATGTAGTGAGAGCCTAGCATGGAACTCCAAGGAGGAAGACCCGGTTTCCAACCTGTCGCCGAAGTGCACCTAGAGCCTTAAGGGTTATGGGTTGGATTGAAGGACCTACCACCTCCCTATGTGAGCCTACCGTCTTCCACAGACGCATATATATATATATATATTGAATCAATAATAAAATCTAAATATAGAGAACCTAAAGAAGAGAAGTCTATTAAGTACATATACTTATAGAATATATATCACATCACTACAAACTAAATTGTTGTCCTCTTCTCTCTCTCTGCCTACGGTTCACCGGGCAGTACAGATATATATAATATATAATATATATATCGTCAAACAGAGCTGCCTGGTAAACCGTAGGCAGAGATGGAGAAGAGGACAACAAACGAGGACCTGTGACAAACATTTCGTCCGAGTTTCACCGACTCATCTATACAAAATATATATATATATAGTCAAACAAAGAGCTGCCCCATAAACCGTGGGCAGAGAGGGAGAAGTGGACAACAAACGAGAGGCTTTGAAAAACTGTTTCGTAGTAGTTTCACCGACTCATCTATAATATATATATATAGTCAAACAGAGCTGCCCGGTAAACCGTAGGCAGAGAGGGAGAAGAGGACAACAAACGAGGGGCTGTGACAAACTGTTTCACAGAGTTTCACCGACTCATCAGGAGGCTGAACCCTCAACTGTAAGTGATAATCCACCTTAACCCCGGCTGTGGTTAAGCATCAACAACTGCCCAACAACTGATACCCTGAGGTGGGCACCAACCACTGCCCTCAAAGTACCTGTGACAAAAATCAAAGCAGACTATCACTCACCCACACCAGATGGAAAACTCTACAGACTGTCGGTTCACACCTCATCACAAGCAAGCAAGACACCCACGAAACAAAGAAAGATATATAGATATATATATATCGTCAAACAGAGCTGCCTGGTGAACGGTAGGCAGAGAAGGAGAAGAGGACAACAAACGAGGGGCTGTGACAAACTGTTACGTAGGAGTTTCACCGACTCATCAGGAGGCTGAACCCTCAGCAGTCTGAAGAATCCCCTAACTGATTACACTGTGAGTGATAATCCACCTTAACCCCAGCTGTGGTTAAGCATCAACGACCGTCCGACAACTGATACCCTATGGTGGGCACCAACCACTGCCCTCAAGGTACCTGTGACGAAAATCAAAGCACACACACACACACATATATATATATAATACATCGTCAAACAGAGCTGCCCGGTAAACCGGCAGCAGAGAGGGAGAAGAGGACAACAAACGAGGGGCTGTGACAAACTGTATGTATGCATTCTATAATTGTCATAAAGAACTACCCCTGAACCATAAGCGGAATGGGAGAAAACGCCGACAAACAGGGGACTATGACTGATTGTTTCATCAGGGTTTCATGCACATCAGCACACCGGAACCCTCCACATTCTGCAGAGCCCCCTAACAGATGATACTGTAACTGGTAATCCACCTTAGCAAAAAATGGAAGGTAGTGTAATCCATATGGATGGTGTACCTTCATAGCTGCATCCTTGATCGAAGACAAGTGATCCAGCTTAAGCTTATACTCCTTGATCAGCTGCGCTTGATCCTTGTGCAACTTTTTGATCGCTTCCAGTGCCTTAGTGTACCTGGACCAAATTTAAGATCACTCTGTAAGAGGACAGTGCAATGATCCTCACACACACTGGTCAAAAGTGATTCAACTCATGCCCATACATGTATCTGCAACTGACATGACAGCGCCGATTCAACGCAATGCAGGGACAGGAAAGAGAGAGAAAGGGAAGAAAGGAGGTCACATCAGGAGAGATTTCTTACATGCCCAGTTGGGCGATGTACATGTCAAACCAAGGATCCGCAATGTGATGAAAAGGACAGAATGGACAATGCAGTGCTAGTGAAATCTCAACCAGCAGTGTACATCCTGATACATACAAAATGGTGTTTTTTATAGCGCAGTGGAAGATTTAGATACAAGTCCTGACCTGACCGGGACTGACGTCTTTCATGTAGTACAAGATAGCGAAGCAGAATGCTAGAATACTAATGACGAGCCCAATCAATGTCGCAATGCAGACTAACATACATCATTCTCACCACAAGGTGTGAAAGGGCCTGGCGCTATACACAGGAAGAAGGTGCCAGGTCCAGACATGCACAGACAAAGAGGAGGGGATCAGACGAAGAGGAGGGGGAAGATGGGAAAGTCGTCAACACCAAGTCTCGTTACAAGTCCCAAATAATCCCTCATCAAAATGTCTGAAGCCCATGCCGAGTCTGGATCCAAATGTCACCAAGCTCTCTCTCTCTCTCTC